TTTGACACCAGCCTGGAAGGTGCTGATCCCCACCACGGTAGGGTACGAGTGCTGTAGCCTTTCTGATTTAGGTGAGAACTCGGACAGCTTGCCGGCGTTCCAAAGTCTCCGGCCTCGAGAGAAAAACATCGCTGAGTCCAACATCTATTGCAAAAAAAAACCTGAAACTATGAGCAGAAAGCCCGAGTCCTGGAGTATGTTTAAAGAGGGGGCTAGACACGATAAGTCCTCTCGGGGGACCTCTAGCCATGGTCCATTTTAGCAGGGCCAGTCCACTTCCCGTTTCAAACCATTTTCTACCCTACACAATTTCTCCGTCTTTCCTTGATCCTGCGGTGTCAGGGGATAAGGGTACTCGAGTAGCTAAAGCTATTTCGGGCCTCCAGTCGATTCCGGCTGTTTCTATCACATTTTGCATCCCTATCTTACCTCCAAACATTCATCACCGGTAACACGGGCAGCGGGATTCAAAACAGCACAGGCCTTCCCCACCCCTGCTACAACCCAAAAGTTAGGCAGCTATTACCGCCCAACCACTGCTTATCGGTAGGCTGTGATCTTCGAATTATGTGCGTATCGAATTGCAAGCATATCCTCCTCAGACAGATCAACGCCTACCCCGCTCACCCCACGGGGTTGATGCGCCAGCCCCCCCCCCAACACATGTGGTTAGTTGGTAGGCCGCACCCAGATAAACGGGGACATTCGGGCTTGTTCCAAATTATCAACCGATCCACACCATACCCCACCAACGCCTAGGGACGAAATAGTAACCACCACCGCAACTTCTAGCGCTTCCGGGGATCGCGGGTTAAATCCGTAAGGTGCCTTGTGTAGAGTCGAGCGGGGGAAATCCTGGTATAAAAGGGCGCCCGTATCCCCCAACACTCCATCTCCTCACCAGCAACAGAACCTTCAACTTCGCTGCATACCAACAACTTTCAGACAATCAAACTAGCCTTTTAAACCCCCCCCCTTATACCAAACAATCATCAACATGGGTGGATGTGGATGCGCCTGCTGCTCTAGCACCTGCACTGGATCGTGCCAAGGATGTGGATCCTGCTCTGTGTGTTCCCTCTCTCGTCCACCCCAAACTGGTTGACCCCTACTGACAACTGACCCCATAGCACTAAATCTCCTCTCCCCCGAGACGGTTATGCGCACGAACTCCTTTGCCGTTTTCCTTCGACTAAGGCAACGATAGTATTTCGAGGGTGGATAAGCGGTTCGGAGCAAGGATACGGGGCTATCAATCAGGGATTTCTTTTTCGACTTTCATTTTATATCCGGCCGGATTAGTTCTGTTTTGTTTGTCAGCCAAATATAGCAACTTAAAACCATCTTTGTTCCAATCCCAATTACAAGTGTGATACAGGACTCGTTATTGACACCCCAAGCCAATATATTTTGCAACATCCATCGATAGCAATTCATACCTGGGGCGAGCAGTAAGAGCATCAGGTGCCCGGACAAGAATACTGCCGTAGCATGAGGGGACTCGAGGCACCGGATTAGAGTTGTGACATTTTTGATGCGTAGCAGAGGGGAACAACGAATAGAGAGTGGTTCGGCGAAAGATTCACCAAAAACCGAGCGGCAAACATCAAGTGTGGCAGGGTTGGTCGCTATGCTCCTTCAATCCGGTCCCCTTATACGTTTATCGCCAAAATAAATGCAACTTCGGCCTGGCGGCTTGAGTACACTTCACCGTCCGAAAAGACATAACCACCCTGCCCAAGACAAGGCTCAAGAAGTCCCCGGAATGGACAAAACGTGTGGGGGGCAGCACGGGTACGTATCGGCATCGAGTAACCTCGGGTTTGCTGGATCCCACGGGGCGGTTTAGGGCGAAGGATGGAAGGGCGGAAGCTTGGTGCTCAAGATGCCAAACATGACGCGTGACATGTCCATTAGTATCGCACTCAGCATGCCGGGTGCAACGTGAAATCTGCCTGTTAATATCCTGATTGTTGGCGTGGGAGTTTGTGGGTAACGTGTGGGGTTGAATGCTAGTAGCAAGAGCGATAAACATCGGCCATGACAGAGCAGCCAGAACTTTGCCTGACTAAGGGCCAAAGGGGGGAAGAAAGGAACGGGGAGAGGGCTCATTAAAGGCACTCGGTGAGGGATTCTGGCGAGGATTAGTGAGATCAAACAATGGGGGGTAATGGGGGGAAGGTGTTTTGTGATGCGATAAAAGAGAGGGAGTGCGGGAACCTTGGGGGCTAACCACCTAGCCAACAGGGTGTCGGAACGGTTTGAAAAAAGTTTGGCGATCATGAACCACCCACCGCATGTGGGTACGACAAGGGATAAACTGCATCATATTACTATCACAGGAAAATACATTGGATCGCTTCTGGCTGGTCAGGAATAAACTATCAAGCGGGGCATCTGGTAGAGCGAGAGCGGAGATAGGGCAGAATTTGCTCGTATTCCCCGGCGAAATCTGCAAGGCTCTCCAAAGCCCGACAACCGCCCCCCTCCGGCGGGATAAATTAAGAGCGTGGGGCTCGCAAGGGGAACGGTTCCGCTTCAGGTTGTTTTGATAGGCGAGACCTAAGAGGTGGAGTGGGGCAATGATGGGACGGGATGTTGGTCCGCTCCTCTTACAAAAGGTCAGCACGGTCGATCGTGAAGGATGAAAATTGAATTGTTCACCATTTGGGGGCAGCGGGGGATGGTCACCTGTAATACGGGGATAGGGCAATGGGGGTGAGGGGTGAAAAGGAGAGGGGGGTGGGGAGAGGCGAAGGAAAGGAAGTAGAAGGGTTGGATTCAGGGGACACGGTACTCTACTTCTACTGTGCCCGAGCACCGCACCTTTGTGGGGGAAAGTATCTCGTCACCGCTTCTGCTTATTGCGTGCAATTCCCTCATGGCAATCAGTCGACACAAGCTTGGAAGAACGACCATCAATTCTTATCGTCAATCTCCAGACATACAACCGCACCCCGCTGCCCCCGGATGCCCGGAAGCTAGGAACTCCGTTTGGTAGAGCGGGACATGGGAGAAAGCGGGATAAAGTTGGTGATATCATACCGGTAACTGGAGTGGAAGAATGCGAATTGCGTCTGCCAGCGTATCAATGGCTTCCATTTTAAATTGTCCAGTTGAGCATCACTCTAGTCATTTTCTTGGTGTTTTCGGTGCGCACTTTGAAAGCATTTTGTGTCGTAGGGGCCTACTTGTAGAGACACTTCTCACTGGCGCTGTTGTTGGTTATTCCTGTAGAGGAGAAATAGGAAAAAGGTAGGAAATGAGGCACCCGATGCTGCTACATAGAAAACCAACTTGAATTATCCCTGATTCTTCCTTTCATTATTTGTGCCCTTCAGCTATAATAATACCTCCCTTCTAGCTTTGCCATGGAAACCCGGCTCAGCAGGGTCAAGGTGAATTCAAATATCCCACGGATCCGCAAAGCTTTACCCTTGTTTTCCGGTTCAAAGAGTGTTATATCATACCGATAGAACTTCTGTGATTCGGCAAGGGTTCCGATTCTACGAGCTCCGGCGTAGCCGGATGCCGCTGTGGTTTTATGCGAGGGATTCACACTTGAAAGGTTAACCCCCTTCGTTCCCCTCCACCATGTGCTGGTCCTCGCATGGGGGGGTCTTGCCCGGATGGAATTAATAGTTTGGGCTCACTCCCGGACTTGCTCTCCCCTCTGGATATGATAGGTGCATAAACTTGATGGATGAGTTGGCTAACGCACGATATGCTCCTGTATATTCCTCCAAAGGCTTCTTCTCCTCGTGCGGATATTCGTGCTGTCATATGAGTAGTCTCATAATGATCAGGACTTGGGCATATAATACTCTAGTGACTTTACCCTATCATGCGGTACAAGGGCGAATGCATGCTGAGCCATAAAAATATGTCTCCAGGTTCCTCCACTCAAAGCGCCCTGTTGCGGTGCAGATGAAACGGTCCCTGAATGCCAGCCACACCGGTAACACATTATCTGCACGATTGGAATTGTGTTTAAGAGGGAATCGCCCTGCGCTATCGTACGAAATCCCAGCTGATCAAGAAAGAGCGCCGCACCGGTAAGCAAAGTCCCTATAGAACTACCCGGAATAATCCCCGCTTCAATTCTATGGACCTTGGTTGCTTATTGAGCGTGTATTGATGGGGAACGGTGGGTGTGCATTTCTGGCGATGGAACATGCATAGAAATTTAGCCCGAAGCGCTACGAGTATCGTAATTTTTTTTCTATGTATTACTAAGCAAAAAAAGTGGAGGACAAAGCTGACATATCGGCCAGCGATTAAACCACAATTCCTTACCCTCTACAGTAAATCGGGTTCTGTTTAGTCTACTCCCTTGTCGCTCTACCTTTGTCACTGTGGTTATTACACTGTCACCCTTTCCCGTCCATCTCCTACAGCGCATCCTACGGTATATCGTAGTCAAGGTCCATCTTTTCCGCGGGTGCCAGCTCGGTTGGACACACTAATTACCGTATCCAATCCCCGAAGCTAACCAAGGCACCTCCACTCTGGCTCCACACCGGTATGATTTCCTTTTAAGATGCGGCTCAAGTTGCAAGAGGAGGGGCAAGCCATCACTGACAGGTGCGGCAGCAAACTTCTAAATATACTTTCCACATCTTTTCCCCCCCGCTCTCCTTCTCCCCCTTTCTCCCTTTCTCCCTCTTCCCTCGACCTCGCCTTCGGTCCCCACAGCCCTTCCGACGGCTGTCCAGGTTAACCGGTGGGTTCAAATCCTCGATCGGCGTAGTGCTTACCACGTCGTATCATACGGCAAAGTTGGGTTAATAGAATCATGTTAGGGCTCCGCCGGCCCCAAGGATCGTATCATACTACCGGTACTCGAGCAGGGGGGTCCCGAGACCTCCAAAACCAGCTCCAGGCTGCGTGAGTTCCCTGAGATCCGTCTCGCCCGACCTAGGTAATTCATCCAAGTGCAAGTGACGAGGCTTAGACTCTGCCTTAAAACTCATCGGTTCACTCGTTTAACAATTGATTTAAGCCAGTTACGAACTCCCTCCTTGGATAATTTGGCAAGGAACTTATTACCGACTTCTTGAAAAAGCTACAGGGAAGATTGAACGCACGGTCGTGATGAATTCTTCTGTTGAATCGGCTGGCGGTGGCTCAATACGCGAGCGGATGGCCATGCTGCAGTTGAACCAAGTTGCGCGCAATACTCCAACTCTACCCGCGGGGGCGGGACCGCCTGCGCCCCCGCCTCCTCCTCCAAAGAGGATCCCACCCCCGCTCCCCGCGAGAAAGACGAGTCGCTTATCATTGGCTAGCTACCATAGCTCGAGCTCTGGTTCGGATGGAAGTAGCATCACCAGCATTGGGTCTAACCCTCCAGTTTACACTGGGAAGGAATCTCTACCTACGCAGTTCGCAGGGAAGCCGAAAGTCCACGAACAATTGAAAAAATCCCCGCCTTCGCTTCCGACAAGGTCGAAGCCAGCACCGGTGCTCCCTCCGCGAGATCCACCGCTTCCTTCGAGGTCCAATACGAGCCCCACACAGAACCAGGCACAGCCCCAACCGACTCCCCGGCGATTGCCTCCGCTACCCTCAATTTCCGTTCCTCCTCTCCCGAACCGACCGAAACTCCCCGTTGAATCTCAAATGGAATCCACCATCTCCCGTGGCCCACCACCAGTACCCCTCTCGACCCGCCCAGCTCTGAGTCGTTGTCCTTCCCCTTCTATGCCATGCCTTGCTTGTTACGACTTTTCGGGGCCCGATAAGCACGCGTCACTACCTCAATTCGAGAGGACTCGTGTAGGATCGTTGCAGCAGCTGGCGGTCGGCTTAACGGCCCCTTTCTCAAACACGCTGGACCGGGCTAGAGCCATATTCACGTGGCTACATCATAATGTTTCCTACGATGTTCATGGCTTTCTTAGTGGGAAAATGGCATCCCAGGACCCCGAGGAAGTGCTCCAGAGTGGAACGGCTGTGTGCGCCGGATATGCCGAACTGTTCAACAAACTTTCTAGCTTTGTGGGGTTGGAAACAAAGGTGGTTTCAGGTCATGGAAAAGGTTACGGTTTTATTCCAGGAGAGCCCTATAACAGGAATCATGCCTGGAGTGCAATAAAAATGGATTGGGGCTGGCATCTAATTGACTGTTGTTGGGGATCGGGTTCCATTGATGGCCCCCCAAATCCCGGTTATAATAAGCGCCTAGCTCCAGAACACTTTATAAGCACCCCTAACGTCTTCGGAAGAAGGCATTTCCCGGAGGATTCAAGTTGGCAATGCAGAGAAGACGGAAGGATAATAGACTGGGAGGAATACATGATGCCCGACCAGGAGGAGCCCGAGCCACTACGTTACTCATCCTTTGGAGAAGAGTTTGGGTTCTCAGAGAAGGCAGTACAGCCTCCCAGCAATAACATTGATTTCTTCGCCGGGAGGAGGACAGCATTCTCCGTTGGCCTTCTATGCGAACACATGTCGCGGAAAGAGGAATGGGTCCTCTTCCTAGTCATAGGCGAGTTTAGCGATAAGAATTGGGCATTAATGGATAGCGATGGGCGGGGACGATATCATATTGAAGTCGAGCTGCCGGATCAGCGAGGGCTCAAGGTCGGCTTATACCGTGCTACAACATGGAAAGGGCGTGATGCCAAAGGATTGTCGGCAAAGGAGTGGCAGGCCGAGGTTGGTGGGGTGGCGTGGGGTTGGAGTCCTATCATTATTTGGGGTGCCGATAAATAGGCCTGAATCGGGTAAACGCATCTCTAGATGCCTAGGGTTATGTCCTAATGAGTATGAATTTGTAATCACAATCGCTCTCGAGTTTTTGTTTTAAGAAGAATGACCGGCACCTGTATGTAGAGTCTAGTTCTTAACTAGGTTTATATGTGAGCGCAATCATAATATCTGGTCATTCGCTTAATTTTAGAGTGCGGGGGTAGGGTGAGGTGTGGTTTGCGGAAAAATGGTTTAACTATCATAGCTGGAATCGCATACGCGCTTTCAGACAGACTTAGACTTAGATTTAGATACAGGTGTGTAAAATGCCGGGGGGGACAGCGAACACGGGGGGACAGCGAACATTGGATGAAGTAAGGGGTAATTGGGATAGTGTGAAAGATGGTGTGTGGCTGACACTAGAATTAGATGATGAAATGATTACTTAAGAAGTAGGAAATGTAGATATAGCTAGGTTGCAAGCAAAGTATCATAGATTGCTCGTCTTAAAAAAAAAATTTGACAAAATGTCTTCTTCAACGTCAGAGTCTGAATCTTCAAATCAATCTCCTTCTCAAGCTGATTTATTATCCGATATCCGCAAGCAGATGGGAATTGATCTTCTAAAGCGGAACATAGCCAGTACCAGTAAATCAGCAGTGGAGATGGTCGGCATTAGACCTTCAACCTTGCAGCATCGGCAACTTGAACTGGGTAGACGTTGTAACGACCCTACGTTATAGAGCTACGGTAACCTATGTCTACACCCATACATAAGACCTCGCGGTCGAATGGTAGACTAGGAGGACACTGCAGGCGCATGTCCTTGGAATATCCGATGGTCCGGGTATCCTAAAGAACAGAAGGTACTTAAGGAATAGGTGCACCCAAGTAGTGGAAGTAATGTAACTATGTCCGTTCCGGCCTAAGGTTAGGTCGGAAGGCCGGGTGAGTTTACCCTGTCTAGGAGAGTCACGTTACCCTACCATGGAGACCAGTTTCGTGTCACCATGGACGAACTTACCCTACCTTTGGGACACTATTACCCTACCTTCTGTCGGAAATGTTCTCGGAGGAATTTTGAGAAAGATTAGGATTGTTTGTTACGCAATGACGATCGACAAGCACTTGGTTGCATGTTGATCGGAAGACCACAGGAGGAGCTATAGTGCTCCGAACAAGTTGTAACTTTGCAGAATAATTCCTAACAGGTACCTGCAGCCCCCGGGTGTGCCCCGGGCGTCATGGGTCTAAATGGTCACAGTTGCCGTCTTGCTAGTTAAATGAAATTGTTGAAGACATGTCCATAACACTGTATACGTCGCTGCCGTCCATCCGACCGGAAGCTGTTCGCAGGATATATAAGGGGGCCACGGTGAGAAGGTCAGGTACCTTCTCTAAAAGGAACGGAGTAAAACGGACCAAAACTGACGGAGTTAGCATGAGCTATCCAGAAGGGTCCCCAGAGTAGTCCCGGGTAGTGCCGGAGACATCTGGGAAGGTTTTACGCCAATCAAGCCTACACGTGCCCCTTTGCCGTAGGCTCTTTGTGGGTTGTTTGAAGACTCTAATAGCATGATACTTATCGTGGTAAGTGGTGTACTGGGGGTAAGGGACCATGGGTAGCGCCCACGGGTCCCACTGCCACTGCAGCTTTCCGCGGGAGTGTCGTAGACCCCGTAAGTTCACAGTCAAGAAAGATAGAACTTAACCGGAGGACAGCTGATGTCTACGAATGCTTGCATAGGTCATAGCACATGGGAAGAGAGTCATTTAGTTAGCTTCCCTAGGGTGTCTCAACAGTTAGCCACTGACGAGACTCCGATGCGCAGAGGTTTTCACTCCGGCAGGTGTATTGGTAAACACCTCGCAGGAACTGATGTGCATATGGGAGATTTCTACTAAGAGTGCGTGGCCACCATAGGCCCTTAGGGGATATGGTAATGGTGCCGAGCAACCCTTACGGAGAAGGGGCATACTCATGATGGTCGGGGTAACCTGATGGGGGAGTTTTTGGTATAAGTCTGACTACTTAAAGCTTATACAAGAACTCTCCTACCCCGACACAATCAACATCCTCCCGAGAGACTTTAATTGAGATAAGCCTGAGCTTAACGATATTAAGTTTTACCGTTACTTTTATTCTTTACAATTTTGCAAGAGCTTTTGTTTGAGAGATTCGAAGTTTGGTGCGGTCGCATCCTTGGGATCCATCTTTCTGAGGGAGCCCCCGTTACAGACGTACACTTACCGAAGAAAATAAACAGCGACAAAAGCTTACCCAGAGAAAGAAAAGTTTCTGGTTGAATGGTGTGAGCACTTAGGGAAGTGTGGGTTTCCAGTAACAGTAGAAGAGATGTGTGAGCATGCTCTTCATATTTACCAACAACGAGTCCCTAATGGGACATTAGATAAATATTAGGTGAAAGATAGTTTTTATTATCGACACCCAGAGGTGAAGTCTAAGTTTAGTAAACAGCTAAACTACAAGAGAAGGGTTTGTGGAAATAATAAGGTTTTATTAAATAATTATTTTGATATGGTATGAAACCTAAACAAAGATTAAAATATAATATGGACAGTATTTAACTTTTAAAATTATTTAGTACTACAAGACTGTTATACAGTTTGCAATAAAGCCACAAAATACATATAATATTGATGAGATTGGATTCTTAATAGGCCTAGCTGCCTCTGAACGAGTCATTGAGGTTATTCGTCATCCTCCACCACGTACACTATTTGGTAAATCACCAAATTGATGGACCGATGAGCAAATGGGAGCCCGTTTCCTAAAACGCAATTTTGGACCTAATAGTATATCAGCAAGGAAAGCACAAGAGGAGTTTCGATTACTTATCTTTGATGGACATAGCTCTCATGTTAATACAAGGGTTTTAACTTATTGTCTTGACAATAAAGTTATTCCCTTGTGTCTTCCTCCTCATACAACACACCGCTTGCAACCATTGGATGTTGCAATATTTAGTTCCTATAAGCATTATTATCGAAAAGCGATTTGGAAAAGATGGGCACGGCGTGAATAGGGTATCGGAAAAGAGAATTTTTATGAGATAGTTAGCCTTGCTTGTCAAAAGTCTTTTACACCAATAAATATTCGATCAGCGTTTTGGAATACGGGCCACATGCCAATTGATAGAAATATTGTTTTACGCAATATTCCAGAACCAAAGAGTCAACCACATACACCTGAGCCAGCAGAAGATATTCCCTTACTAGGCCATCTTAGCCACTTAAATACCGCAGAGATAGCACAATTTCATACACTAACCAGTATTCGTCAGTTACGATATCAAGAACAGTTGATTAAGGGTGAGGAGGGATATTACTCAAACTTACCAAGAAATTGGAAGCGCCGTCGACTATTGGACAACATTGTCCATGCCGCGTATCATAGCATGCTACAAGCGGAACAACGAAAGAGAGATATTGAAGATATTTTGTTAGCAGAACGACAAGAAAGAGAAAGGAAGGGAAAAAGTCGAAAGCGCATACCTGCTGAAGGTCGAGCCTGGTTAGATATTGTGGATATTAATTCCTTCTTTAGCCATCAAGCTATAGAGAAAGAAAGGAAAGAAAGAAAAAGGCAGACAAGAATTGAGAAAGCAATCCTACGTCAACATACCTTATTGCAAGAGATAGAGAAGAAAATAGCTTGGGCAATTGAACGAGAACAGCAGCAAACCCTTCCTAGATCATGGAAAACATCTAGTCAGCATAATGATGAATGGAAAAAAATTGAAGAAAAACTCTTTAGTTTGCTTACCGAACAAGCAAACCTACCAGTAATTTCGGATCATATCTCAGTTCCTAGCCACAGCCAAGAAGCTAGTGAGGAAGAGGAAAGAGAGCAACAAAGCCAAAGGGGGGATCTAGGATACGGGTGGGGATGGGAAAGAGAGATGGAAGAAGAATTAAGTGGGAAGAGAGGTGGAAGAAGGGAGGGGGTAGAAAACAGGAGAGAAATCAGAGAAGGAAGTAGTATGGAAGGCGGAGACGAAAGCAGTATTGGAAGTGAGGACGAGAGTGGGGATGAGGATGCGGAGCAGACTGTGGAAGACTATAGAGAAGGAGTTTAGAATCGGATTAGTTGTTGGAAATTGTGAGAGGATACTCGGCATCCTCTTACAATAGTCTGTTTGTCTGATTGCATGACCTTTGGAAGTGCGCTCGAGGTCCTGAGCACAGTACGGCTCCTGGATACAAGCCCGCACAGTTTTGCTCTCCTAGGAAAGCACCTCAATCCTACGAGTACACGATAGTCCATGGAGATACGCATCTACCGGAAGGGTAGTAGATGGTCGATCGGAAGGGAGGTACCAATGAAGGAGGTGGGAGGCCACAAGGAGGACTAGAGGTTGAGTAGCGGTTGTTTGTCTTTTTGTTATTAGCTTTCCCTATTTGCTCGTTTGAGGAAGATGTACCTTGATAATGGGAGGTCATGGTGAGGACTTTGTCGTCATTTTCAGTTATTAATATACTCAAGTGGCTGGATTGAAATCAGAAGGGGCTTCTGATTTCAATCCAGCTACTTGAATATGAATACACATCTGTCATTACTGTTAGTTTATTAAAAAGGGTGGCAAGATGAAGAGTTTTCCCCACACAATCGTATGGTCATTTTCACCCATTCATTCATTCCTTCAATTGCAATATCGCGAAAGTCTCTACCACAGTCTAAAATTAGTGGTAAGTAAAACTTTCAAGACTAGGCCTGTAGGAGGTATAGGTAGGGGGGGGGAGGGTATCACTAAAGTAGCGTTTTATAGCAAAGCCACATCCCCGGCCATAGTGATTTCCGTGAGCCGGGTTGGTGTTCGTTGTCCCCCCGTGTTCGCTGTCCCCCCCGGCATTTTATCCGGACCCAGAACCCGAGAAGGGGCATATCCTAATCACGAGTCATCCAAAGTGTGCTACCGCCGCGAACCCTACGCGCTAGTCACAAAGCGCATCCGAGGAAAACTAATTTCAATCGTCAGCTAATATCCTCCGTCGTTTAAGCCCATTTCGCCTTTACAGAGAGGGCGGATAAGAATGGCCCACGCTGCACTCTATCTGTTGACATACCTGGCAACGCTATCACCTGGCTTCGAGAATTTGGGAGGTATCGTGGAGGGGCATCCAAAAGGTCATAACCGGAAAGGAATTGTATCCAGTCGCTCCCCCCTCCAAGGCAAGCATGGCACAACTTCGAGTGGAGAAATCCTCGGGCGACTTTTAGAGGGAACCCGGGCTTCGCGGAAACTACCGAACGGAGTAGTAGTTATTCATATATCCTTATGGCTTCTACTCTTCTTAGAAAAGGCAGGTAAGATCTCCAGGCGAGCCATGTTGAAGAAGTAGATGTCTTAGCGGTGGGCAGCCACCCGGCAGGCCAATTCAGTCGTTTTGGTACGAGTACTAGAGAGTTATATGGCATTTACTTTTTTTTCCTTCCCCGATTCCGCCTTTATTCTTTCTCCCTTCTTTCTGCCATGAAACCCCGCCGGCCGCGGACTTCCCCCCATGATTGGGCACGCATAGCCCAGAGCCGGATCTAGCCACCTCATAGTAGGTCTGTCTTGCTCTATAGCCCTTTTTGAGAAAGGTTAAGATATTTAGTCCCCCAATTTCCAGAGGACGGGGCCTAATTCTCCTGCCTTACGTTACGGATACGGGATCTCCCAACAATAACTTATTGTGAGGGTAATCGAACTCTTTCCACTGATATAGGGAGGTGATTCACGTAACATTACTGTGGGAGCCGATAATTGTCCTAGTAAGAGCTTTTTTTCTCTCCCCCTCTCCGCTTGCGGTTAGTGGTGACGATGTTGTATTATCGAATGTTGAATTATAGAAGTAGATATGTTCTCAAAGGAAAGGGAATCATGTACCTTGAGCACTAAGATATAATGACAAAACTCCGCCTTAGGCAAAGGAGGAATCACGGTCGGGGTATTAGTGGTGAAAAGGGGGGGTAGTAAGGTTGATTTTTGGAAAAGCGGGGTTTGGAGTACCTTATAGATCAGGGATAGGCGGCCGGAGGTCACTGGGTGCCCGTACACTGACAAGCGCACAATATAGGAACACTATGATACAATATTCATGACTTATGATATCCCAGGTATCGCACCGCCCCCAGCCCCCGGGCTGAGTCTCATCAGCCTTCTGGGGAAGTCAATTGCTCGCTAGGCTTGGATATTTTAGCAGGTATTATATGAGAGAGCTGCTGTCACAAAGGACTGCAGCGCCTTCATACTACTGATACTGCCATGCCAAGGATAGTTTTTGGTGTGAGCTTGAAGTTCAACTCGAGACAGCTTGGCGCATACGACTGATGGGATACCAAGGGACAGGCTACCAGTACGGAGTGTCATGCACCATCACTCGCAGCCCGTAACCGGCGATTGGGGCTCTCGCTGGCTTGAATCCACCAAAGTATAAACCGGGCCTTTTAAATTTCTTCCCAGTTTCATTTTCCGGTAATTTCTTGCATCTACCTCTCCCTTATCTCCCCAAACGCCGTACTCAGAGTTGATTCCCTTGGCCGCTTCTGATCGGTTGTCTTGATCCAACTCTCGTGTATATGCCTCTCTTGCTCACTGGTACACATGTATTGGCCTATTATGCTACGATGGTTTTCGTGGGTCGTATCGGCGACCAATGATGTTGCCTATGCCCTCCAGTGCGGTCAGCACAGAAGATGCCCTCGCCGATGCCATTCAGCTCCCTAGAGGTCTCGGAAAAGTTTCAATATCTCGGGGGAAGAGGCCGATTAGAAAACGCTGATTGCGTAATTTGTTCTAAATTCTGCACAGGTCAGGGCAGGGCTGGGATTATGGTAAGAATGGTGATATGGGCTGTTCTAGCACCCCGGGGAGAGCATAGGTGAGCTATCGAGGATGACAGGATGTGGAGCGGGGGTATGTGGTAATGCTCCTATTTCTGTGGGTAGGGGGGGAGGGGGGTGGTATGGTGTCGCCGGGCTTTCGTATGATATGATAGGACAGAAACAGCGGGGATTATCAAGAGTGATTCATTCGGTGATCCCTTGAGGGTGGAGGGTTGTACGAGTACAGCATGTTCCTGGCGTATATTGAGGAACCTAGGTTATAGTGTCTCTCACAAACTAGGCTTAGATATTTCCTGGGCGGCTACACCTTGTTTAGGATATATTTGGGGACGGAAAGAGGCAAGTAGTACGCGAGGCTCTGTCAAGCCTAATGGGTGCAGATAGTTAGACTCTGGTTTCCGGTTACTGTAGACACCATTGGCGGGTAGCATGAGTCGCTAGCGGCAGGGGAGTTTCTGCTATTATAGAGAAACTAGCAGGAGCGACCTGGAACTCGGTTTCGTAGTTGACTGCTAGGTAGACTGCCTTCAAAAACGCTCTGCTAAATATTGCAGTAGAACCGGTGTAGTTCGTGATTGGCATGAAGGAAGGGTTGGGACTACCGACATAACTATAGTCCTCATACCAAACTAGCGGGAGCAAGGGTTAGCACTAATGACAGGTGTTTTTTGTGGGGGGGATTCGTACCCGATTTCGGGAAAGCGATGTTCAGTTCATGCGTGTCAGCAGAACCGCCAGCTTCTGAAGGGGGTCTCATGGTGATGTTGCCTAGCTTTCTCTCCCGGGGGAAACCATTCTCCTAAGAGTTCCTGATCCTCGCTGCTCCATTGTTAACGCCGGTGTACTGATATGATGAAAGAGATACTAACCTGAAAGAGCTGGAGGAAGGTATATCCCAGGAACCGAAGAGTCAATTTCAACATCCAAAGCACCATCCTTTCCCCCCCAATAACTGTGTAGTCTTCGGGTTATGCAAATTGACACTAGTGAGTTGAATCTTAGACATCCCACCAACCAACGGACCACGAATACGGCTGTCGCCCTTCTGCTTCGCAGGGTCATACCCGCCAGGGATCAAGCTTCCAGGGTAGGTTTTATTCTAAGATACGAATTAGCATCTTTGGTCACTATTTCTGGGAAATTGGGCTTCAACCCGGGCATCCGCATCCCAATCCCGCGAACGCTTGGCACCACTGCCTATCCATAGAGAAAAAGCCTTTGCACCAATATTCCCTTCCTTCTTTAGTCTATCCAACAGTACGCTATATTTTCCTAACCCCATGATGCCAAAACTCGCGTTTGTATCCTTTGCAAATGCCATCTCAGAGTTCTCGATCACTGAGTCACCAACTGTAATCCTCGATGCGACACCGGGGACTATATCAATATAGTTATTCCTTTCGCTATCCAGAATACGGGCAACAGAGGAGTTCCCTGACGGCGAACTAGCCCTAGCAGCACTCAATAGCTCGCCCTCAGAGATTTCATCGTCAAAATCGTTATCGAACCCATTCGGGCCACTACCTCTACCCCCACCGGGGTTGGCGAAGGGGGCCAGCTGCTCGAGTGCCTATTCGACGGGTATGCGAGAAAGGAGTGGCTTTCTACCTTTTGTATCAGTGTTAGTGGGACGCTCATAGTATATAGGTAATTCCAGACGTACCTCTAATAGAATAAGGTATAAACCTGCCCTTGGTATTCCGGGCGCAACGAGGTCTACATCGATAGGATTGGGAGAAGAAGTATTGTGCCTCAGGGGAAACCTAGTGGCAAGCAAAGGGTGCTTCATGATTGATTGCTAGAAAGGGAGCAGTTAAAGGAATCGCAACGAAGGAATCGTTAAAAGTGGGGGATCAAGGAAAAAGCGAGATATCGCTCTGCAGGAGGGGGTGTATTATAAGCTATAGGCAGACCGGTTGAAGTATCATCACTCCAGACTATAATATAATAAAGATACTGATACGCACACTTTATCCATCCTAAAACTAAATTCACTTATAGCTCCGCTTTAAAGATTAGCCTGACAAACTCCCTTTCGCCCATGTTGCCCTGTGTATATAGTGTCGGATGTGTACCGGATGTGTACCGACAAGGCAAGAGTACCCAAAGAATCTTAAAAGCACGTGCTATCGAGCACTGATTTCGATAGTATTCTAAGAAGCAAGGTTCGGACCTACCGAGTGGCAATTAAATCCCCAAGGGTCCCACTGGGATACAGAAAGAAAAAAAACTCAAATCATCCTCAAGTCTGGGCTGTTTCCGGGTTGTCTGAATCAATTCTGGCTATTCGGTTGCTAAGGGGTTTCAGGGGACGCCCCTCAACGCATAGTAGCATTATATGGTAGTTAGCTAGCTAGTCTTCATAAGTTGGGGGCCTCTCTTAGAAACCAACACTCATGCCTTTTGGTAAGACTGTGGGAGCGTGGCACATACTCCCGATGGAGCTAAACCTACGCATAGGAGCTGGGTTACTACTCTAGGAGATAAACCTCGCGGGGTAGCTTTCATGCGGCTTCGATCTTGTGCTGGGTACGAGCACGGACAATGATTGATGGGTTCTCATCGAGGAGTCGTTGTGTGGATGCGGTCATTATCTTCACGTTTGATCTCTTGTGGCTTCCCGTACCCACAATCAAAGAAAACGGACTGCTTAACTAAACAAAAGCAGTTCCGATGCCCTTCTTAGTACTATTACAGTGCTAGTTACCTATAGTAGAGAAACTAGGAGTGGAGGTGATAGCTGGGGTCTTTGACCGAGAAAAGGCACAAGATGCCTCAGCCACACCGACCGGAAAATTGCCAACTATAAAAGAAACAACTTGCAGGGCCGCTACTAGGAAGGCCAAGACACCGATGTCCCATCCTAGCACGACCTCTTGCCAGCGTTTATTTTGTCGGATGTCTGGCTCGGTTTCGCGGATCTCAGCCCCTCGTGTCTCACACCAACAAAGTTTTATGCATGCATGGCTTGAGCGATAGTTCTGCAACCCTAGCCTATAGTGATCTCTCCCTATATAGCACCGTGAGTACTAATATCTAATACCGGTACGAGTACCCGGGCCTAGTTCTTTCTATGTGTGCCGTCTTTTGACTGGGATGTATTGTTGATCCATCTGTATGGGATGGTCTACCCTCCTGAACCTTAGGAACGATCACAGCAAGATATTTCCGGCTGATATGCAGTGAGTTTTGGGGGTGGTGTGTTAAAAACCCCTCCAAGATGAAGTGAAAAATTTCCACACCGGGCGGCGGGTATAATTGTCAGGGAACCAATTGGTCAATCCAAGTGGAAGCGGCTACGGAGGAGTTGCAGAAACAATCCGGAAAGCTAGATGTTGTTTTACTAGTGAATCAAGGGATAATAATAATGGTCAGTGATATCCGGGTTTTAAAGATAGTTGCTTTGGTATCTGCCGTCACAACACCTTCACAGCTGTCCTTCTAGAGTGGATAGAGCGAGAGTACTAAGATAATCCAGTATACTTCCATAGGGGAAAGGTATTCAGTAGGGCAATATGGGTCCGCAAATGACTTCGGCATAAGTATATCAAACCTGGTTATCGGCCTTGCCTATTCGGACATCCTGAACTCCCGGGGCGCCGGTGTCGGCGTTCCATGAACAGCAATAATGTCTGCCTCTCTGCTGTAGGATATCCAACGGAATCGATAAGCATGCCACCTAGCCTCTACCAATGAAATCCTTGCCGTTTGCACAATTCTGCACTTCTCTTGTACAAAACAGTATCGCACACTGTCTCCCCGCCCAGCGCATAGGTATGGTAAACGCCCCCACAATCTGTCTCATCTACACTAGTTGAGCTCTGAATACTCGAAAAAAGTTCGGTATTAAGGGCTTGATTCATGAGGATCAGGGCTCCAAGTCACAGGAAATTTCGGTGTGAATAAACAGCCTAGATACTAACAGAGCTCCCTCACCTGTAAGATATTAACCCGTAACTCACGCTTCTGTAAATGTAACTTAGGCCCTAGATGGTATATCTCTCCCCGAGAATGCGATACCTATAGCTCCGAAGGTAACGCATTCTGAAGTAATGACGAACGAAATATTTTGTCACGGGTAGAAAATGCTGTTGCGGAGCCATCTACCGGTATTTACCATATAGTTCAGGGGAAGACAAGTTATCCCTCATAGGTCAAATAGTTCCTGTAAATATTCCCCCACCCTATACATACCACACCCTCTCTTACAAGATTCTATTCAGGGGTATTATTTTCCAACAGACGGTTTGGGAACCAGCTGGTTGCGGACACAGGCCGTGGGCCCAGGCGTGTCCCCGTCGAGCAATAGGGGCACCACCACGACCAGGCACTGGCGGGGTCCTGGGTAATTGAACCGTAATTCACCAGGACTGAATTGATCCCGACACCGGAGTTTGTGCCCCTGGGGGTATCTCTTAAAGTCTAAGGAAAGAGTCAAATCAGTTTCATAGCTGATGTTCTTTTGTTTTTTTCGTCAGCTATGTGGAAGCCCTCGAGGAATTTGGCGCTGAAGATAGATAATATCCCTGAATCACGAATAGTCGACATACCTTGATACAAGCACCAACTTCAACCCACTGGTTATGTATCGTATTCAGCCAGTGGTTTCCAACAAATGTCCGATATAAACCTAGGTAGGATCCCTTGAACATCATTTCAGTAAGTGGCAAAGCCTCAGAATACGAGTACTGACACTTCCTGGCGTGACACGGTTAGGATTCCAAAGGGAATAATTTCTAATAACGGGCATCAATCATTACCTTCTGTAGTTGGTAATGGTAGCAATTTTAACCCTTGGGTCCCGTGTCTCTATTGGCAGAGGAGTTCCCGAATGTCTCCTCAAACATGACCCAGCTCTCTTTCTCATAAGCCCCCCTTGCCCGGAATCTTCAACGATGGTTTGAAATATTAAAAAATTGAGTCAACGCCCCCCCACCTATTTCGTAAGTATGGGTCGAGATGGAGGTTTTTACGAGTGATTGATTATGATTTACCCACACTCCTCTTAGGGTCTCTTGCTTTGTTCCGTTTTACTTAGCCGTCTACTAACCCTCTTCCCGCCTCTAGATATAATCACCGCAATAGCGAAGCACCCAACTTGTGATTCTCGGAATGAACAGCACTAGAATTGGTATCACTCCCGTCAGGTAAACTCCAGCTATCTACAAAGCTAGAATAAAGGGATCTTTCTAGGTGGTTGAGACACAGTGTGATCAACAGACGCGAAAACCCCGAGTCAAGAGGTTGAATTACCTAACCTGGGAGCCTCCGCCCCAGTTGGGTAGGTAGAGCGAGTTTCCCCCCAAAAAAGTAGTAAAATTAGATGCCGTGTTAGTTCTGAAAAAGGTTCCCCAAAGAGAACCAGTAAGGGATGGCACAGGTAAGTATAACTTTGGTGTGACCTACAGTACCCATATTCTACGGTTATAGAACTGAAGGCGTGATTAATTATTTGTGTTGTTGGTTGTTGCGGCCTTGTCGCGGATGTGGTTGCTTAAACGCGACAATTGGTTTGGTTAGTTCCGTGTAGGTAGATTACAGGGCCACTCCAAGAAGGCAGCAAAGAGAGACGTTGGCATCCATATTCTCATGGTGCTAGCGCTTAAATACCATTCTGGCGACGAAGATAAGGGTGGGTCAATTTTCTAACGTCTATGATAAGAGTTCTCTCTTGGGTATTGAATTAAGAGAACCTACATGAGTACGACATCACGGATTATCACTCAAATGGATTTGAACCATATTTGATTATGAAAGCTCAATGCTTCTCTTTAAATCGAACAATTGTTATATATACATGGTATTGTAACAAACGGACTGAAATAATTAATTCAAAGATCTAAAGTAATACTCGCTAGCCTAGGATTCCGAGCAGCTCCGAGTGCGAAACTAGGTCTAAGGTCCCAAAACTATCACCCTGTGGATCTGTTGCAACGGGAGGTTCGCTGATCACACATTAGGAGAAGCACGATTGACCCAGAGGGATATAAAGGTGTCATTTCTCCCCTCATTTCCTTCCTTCGTGCAATTCCTCGAATAAGGAACAAAACTACAGGGGAGGCGGCGAGGAACACTTTTGAGAACACGACAGTGATATCTATTGACTGCTTTGTTTTTATTCTTTTGCCCCTTGCATTATTAAAACCACCCAAGGACTTCCGGAAACCTCCTGCGTGTGCGAAGGCGTCGATTGCCTATTCGTTCTGCGAGCAATCCAACCTTTCCCCTCGGTTCCTGTCGCCTTTCCGGACCTAGATACTGTCCACCCAGTAACCCCCCCCCCCCTCCGAGATGAGATTTTCCAACTCTATCATAAAAAAAGGGTGTTCATGGAACCAAACTGTAGTATCCCCGACGCACTGGGAAATGTTATCAAAGTCAATGGCTATGACAGCGGATATTGAGTTGGGAAACAAGTTCTTTGGGGGAACCTGGGTCGATAGGTCTTGAGGGAAAATCCATTATATCATCATCCCCATATATCCCATCTTCACCTTCTAGAGCCGGTAGTCTTGCACAGTTTCCCAAGCTTCCTTTACCCCCTTCCTCCATTCGCTCGGTCAAGCCTATCCGGCACCACCGGTTGGTTGCCTTTTTGTTCCTATACCTCCCCCTCTTCAATTTCCAGGCTGGAGAAAAACACCGCTCCGCGAACCAAAACAGTGCAGCAGACAAGTTCCAGGTTCTTGACAGGTACCCCAGTGGAGCATAGCCGGTAATGGAAGGGAGAGATACCATCAATAGTAGATAAAAGAACCTAGCAGCAATAATCACACAAATGGATGGGCG